TCATAAAATCTTCTAATGATAGCGTGCAATCCCATGCGTACCCGGCTTCTTCGAACACCTTTGCTGGTACTTGCTGAAATGCACCAATTCAAATCACGTTACTTTGAGATTGTACTGTTGTACAATCTAATGAAGCAAGAATTAAGAAGGAAATCTCTTCCCTCTTGCCCGGCCATGGGCAAAAAGGCCCCCGGCTGGCCCTCTCGCGCCCTCCTTCTAGCAGCCACATAACGATTTGGTATCAGCTAGCTTCGGTTCGATCATGTCTTCACCGTCGCCCAACCCGTCTCTTCCCCTGCCGGTCACCTCGTTGCCTCTGGCGACCACCACGACCGTCGCCCTGCTCCTGCCCGCGCCGGGATCCTCCGTCGCGCCCGCCCCCGCCGTCCTCATCCCGGAGGAGGTGTCTGGGGCGCTGCGGGACCTAACCCAGGCGGTCCAGGAGATCTGCCTATTCTTGGTCGGGTCCTACGGGCCGCACCCGGCTGCGCCGCCCATCGCCGCCGTCTGCCATGGCAGCCGCTGCACCAGGCGGCCTCCGTCGCGCTCGACGGGCCGCTGCAGCTGCCATCCACCGCCCTACCCTAGCTGCCGTGGCAGCCGCCGCTCCTGGCAGCGGAGGCTGCCGCTGCCCCAGGGCATCCCCGCCGCGCTCGCTGGGCCGCTGCAGCTGCCATCCACCGCCCCGCCCTGGCTACAGTGGCAGCCACCGCTCCTGGCGGCCTCCGCCGCGCCCGGCGCTCCGCTGCAGCAGCCACCGCCGGTCAGCTCCGGCCCCGCATCGACCGCGCCGGCGGGAGTCCCAATCCACCAGATCAAGTTCCCGCCGTCACCATTACCGCGTCCCCAGGGCGTCCCCATCCAGCAGATCAAGTTCCCGCCGTCGCCGTCGCCGTCACCGCTTCCGGCTTGGATCACTACCCGCCACGTGTCGGCGACGATAAGGCTACAGGCTGCTGCGCGCGGCCTCCTAGCGCGTCGGCGTGCGCGGGAGATGCGTGGTCTGCAGCTGCCGCTCCTCCCAGCTGCCCTTCGCTGCGCAAAGGACCGCGATCTCGTCCGCTGCGTCGGGGATCTTGGGCATGCTGTTTTCCCCACGGGCAGCGACCTCAAAGTCTGCGACATCGGCGGTTGGGGGGGGGCACCCCTCGTCATTCACCATCGCAAGCCCTCCACTCTTCTCTGTGCGGTGCAGACCAACAGCCGTCCGACGGGGAGAAGGCAGGGTGTCACCGACAGGAGAGCACCGCATAGCACCACTGCATTCTGCCGGCCGCCACGAGGGCGCCTCTGCTGGTCGCTCTTGCGACCACTTCCAGGTGGCCATACACACGCACTCCTTTTGTCCAGGTGGTGTCCATGGGACCCAGGTGGCTGTACACGTGCACGTCCGACATGCCGATGATGTCCACTTAAATCGTCCGAGTCCATTTCAAGTTGAGAGTAATAAACCAAGCCGAGATGTAAAAGGCTTGTTTTTAGGTGTTAGGTTTGTGTTGCGTCGAGTCATGGTTATAAGTTGGTTAGGTTGCAGCTCGAGGACAAGCTGCACGTCCAGGTGGGGTGCAGTGCTAGAGTAAGTAATAGGCCTAATGGGCCTGGGCTGGCGGTATAGCCCGCTAGTCTTAGGGTTAATTAGAGATAAGGGTCGCTTGCTTAGGAGTCAAGTAAACCTATCTATATAAGGGGAGGAGATGTATCAATCTAATGAAGCAAGAATTAGAAGGAAATCCCTTCCATCTTGCCCGGCCGTGGGCAAAAGGCCCCCGGCCGGCCCTCTCACGCCCTCCTTCTAGCAGCGTGTTAGAGTAAGTAATAGGCCTAATGGGCCTAGGCTGGCGGTATAGCCCGTTAGTCTTAGGGTTAATTAGAGATAAGGGTCGTTTGCTTAGGAGTCAAGTAAACCTCTCTATATAAGGGGAGGAGATGTATCAATCTAATGAAGCAAGAATTAAGAAGGAAATCCCTTCCATCTTACCCGGCCGTGGGCAAAAGGCCCCCGGCCGGCCCTCTTGCGCCCTCCTTCTAGCAGCGCCATAACAGAACGCTTACTACATGCTAAGTCTTAAGGATGCAACTGATAACGAACACTTGACTAAGAAAGGATGAGTTCCTAAATAATTATATTTTTTTGAACTAATAGTAAGGCTTCCTTTGGTTTGGAGGAATTTCATAGGAACTCTAGAGGATAGGATTCTTATAGGATTTTTTCCTTTAGAGCCCTTTGGTTCATAGGAATGGATTCCTATTCCTACATAGGATTGGTTCATATCCTCCACATTTCATAGGAAAATAAAAATGAGTCTAGACTCAATGGAAAAATTTCTTTGGTGTCAACCAAATGACATCCCATTTCCTATTCCTACTCATAGGATTTGAGATACATGTCATCTCATTTCCTACAAAATTCCTATTCCTACGATAATCCTATCCTATGAACCAAAAGAGGCCTAAAAGGTTGCATTACACCGAATATTGTCTTTGCACAGCATAGGCATATGCTACTTCGAACAGCTGAAGCTATGAAAAAATCTGCAACTTACTGTCAGGATCGCCTTCAGATCTTATGCTCACTTGATGCGTTCATCGTGGCAGGATACTAATTATTTGAAGAGAAAATAAGGAAAATGTCACCTTTTTTGTCGATTTAGTTAGTTATTTGCGAGTTAATGCACTACGCCAAGAAATACAGGATTTGCTTGAAATGAGAACCTCTGTTTGCTGCTCTGACATAGAATGTTGCACTGTGAAGCATGCTATTTTAAACATTTGCAGCTACAGAGAAACCTACAATTGAGTGGCATGGACCGCTTCAGAAAAGTATTTATTCTCACTTGATGTGTTTATGATGGAAGGATGCCAGTTATTTGAAGAAGAAAGGAAACGGACACATATTTGTTGCTCTGACATGGATGACCCTGTTAAGAGTGTTAGGTCCCATAAAACCTGTACCAGGTCAACATATAGTTGTTCCGAAAATCAAAAGATAGAAAAAAAACTAAATTCAAACATGATTAAGCATTACACTCAATCCTTTGCTGAATGCTAGCCCTTGTGCTGGCTGAAGGTAGAGAGAAAGGAAACAAAATCAATAAAGTTCAATCTATCAACCATACGGAGCAACCTTTGCATGAAAGAGGAGAAATGGAAAATCAAAACCAGACCCATATCTAGAGTTGCCACTGCAGAATCTCCTAAATATAACTTTGACGGTCAAACTTAGAGCAAGGAAAATCAACAGAGCCGGGTTTTTCTGTTTGGTATATGGCATATGAGACACCAAGTTCTATGGAGAAAGAAAACTATGATGCCTTCAGATGTGGAAGATACTTTCATTCATAGTGATGTTCAGGAAATACATTTTCAGGTTCCACATGACTTAGACACAAACCATGACAATAGTTCTTATGCTAATCCTTCCATATCATAAAGGTTGAAGTGACTAGCATTGCCGTAGACCATGATCATCAACAAGAAGGTATTCACCGACTGAGTTGAATTAAGGAGGTTGGCATATCACTACAATGAATCAGATTCAGTTAGCTTGCTATTACTACTGGCTGCTACTAAGTGACTGTCAGTTGATTTCAAATCAAAATGGTTATTTCCAGAAATTATGCACTCGATGTCTAGACGACACATCTGACATGTCTGCTAGTTGTGTTGGGTCTCAGGGCTACATGTTTGTGTGAAAATAGTATAAAACCTAATTTAATTTTTCCCATAATTTACAGGGGAGCGCCTCTTGGTAAACATAGGGAATCAGTCAAGCTAAGTAGCATTGTAGCAACAGCATAATCAGAGGACAGTACATAAAAAAGAGATCACTCCATCAATCGGCACATGCAATCAATCAGTTAGTACAAAAAGGGACAAAGCAGCCAAAACTCTGCGTACCTGAGTTGGTGGATGACTAAGGGATGGAGGGGAACTCGTCCTCGGAGGGGAACATCTTGGCGCAGCGGTCCAGCCAATAGAACTACTCGTGCCTGCTCCGAGACTTCACTTCTATTGGGAAAACAGCAACACCACATCAATTAGAATCTTTTTATACGAAAATTCTGGTAATCAAAGAACAGAGTGTTGTGTTTCTGTTGACGCTACCTATCACCAACACAAAACACATGCTCCCCCTTTTTTTAACAAATGAAGCACTTGTCCTGCTTTCAATATAAGATATGAAATGGCTTTGCTGCTCCCTCAAGATCGACTTATAATTTCACAGGCAACCTGGATCGCATTCAAAACAAGAAAAGAAAATGTTGGATGTTCTAATTTTCTGAACTGATAGCATCCCATGACCCCCATGCAAATTTCTTGTAATGCAACTGGCCTTAACCAACATGATACCTCTGACAGAATCAAATTGCTGTCCTTAACAGATACCAACAACGACAATCCTAGAGGCAAACTGGTTTTCATGATTTGACAGAATTTCCATGATACCCCTGTTCCCACTTCCCACATCACCAAAACCTCAAAAAGGTATGTGTATTAATTGTTATAGCTGCAGAACTCCTTGGTAATAAATTCCTTTCCAACTAGTGTGGGTGTCAACCCTGTTTTTTGACGCACAAGGAGAGCGCAAAATGGAGTAAATAACAGGGCCAGTGTAGATGCATGATCAAGCTATCTGATAACAAAATACCATTTGATTAACAAGCAGAGTAGATAAAAGAATGTGTTGACATCTCCTTGAGAAATGTAGATGAAATCATGTACTAGCACAGTAGGTGATAATAAGAACATAATTATATTTTCTCAATAAGGTTCAGAAACCATGGAACCACAAGCGCAATATCAGATAACAAAGACCTGAAACCACAAGCTACCATTGCCTAAAAACCTTAGCATTTTATCACCTCCGATTCCAACGCACTTCCTGGTTAATAGGCACAGTTACAGATGCAATGAACTGATAAAACAGGGGCGAAATGAGGCTAATTTTTGCATCTCGGTTCACCATTGCTACAACACTCAGAGGCACATCCATCACTCAGCTAATGTGTAGGGGACATAGCCATGAGCTCGACCATAAGAGAAGGGCAGCTCGCGATCAGATGCTGGAAGCCGTCGGTGGCCACGACAGCCCTCAGATTTGGTGGAGCGGTGAGAAAATCGAAGCAGGCCTTCTTCAGCCCCTCACAGCGGTGCTGCTCGGCCAGCGTCAGGATGGTTGCTGCCGTGCCGATGTCGATGTACTCGCACAGCTTCTGCTCGCAGATCAGCTTTAGCCGCCCCATGCCATACCTGTCCGCAGCAACGAGCAGATGCTGGCATACGACTCCGTCTTCCTTGAACGTCTCCGGCAACAAGCCGGCGTATGTGAAACGGAGCAACGCCTTGAACACCTCCGCGTCCATGTCTTCCACGCACACGACGCCGCCGTGGGCGGCATTACGCTCCTTCATGGGTCCAAAGAGTTGGGCGGCGAACACCGGAGAGCAGGCCGCGAGCACGCACCGGTGTGCCGCGACGGTCTCGCCGCCGACCTCAAACACCACGTCGGCGCCCATCCCGGTGTCGAGGAGCCTGCCCAGGTTCTCACGCAGGTCACATGGGGGCACAGAGACCAAGGCCGCCATGCCGCCGGCGGCGCGGTAACCATGGACGACAACGATATCGCACCGGACGGTGAACGAATCGTTGGTGAGATACTTTGAGCTCTCCAGCTCCACCCTCCTGACGAACTTGGAGTACTCCCAGCCCTTGCGGGGAGCGAATTCGTCGACCGGTGCCGACGCCATCGACGCGGCCTGCTCCGCCTCCTCCTCCTTGGTAACGAGGCAGATGTCGTACTGGGCCTTCACCGGCGCCGGGCCATCTTCCTCTAGTATCAGGGAGAGGGACACGTAGTCCGCGACCTCCGGGCGCACGCCGCCGGGGTAGTAGTCGATCCGCCAGCGGTGGCCGCCGATGATGAAAGGGTGAGACTTGACGCGCTCTCCGGTGGGCATGTCCTTGGTGCGGGAGTAGCCGTGGATGGTGAGCAGGTGGTGCCCGCTGGTCGTGTCAGCCACGATGGCGGACCTCGACGGCACCCCGCCGGCGACGGAGGACGCCATGGCCGGGCTGCTCCGCGGGATTGGGAGCTCGCAGCTCTCGTAGATGAAACGGGGGCGTTGGTCGCTTTAGATTTGGGCGAGGGTTTTCTTTCTTGCGGTGTGAAAGGGGAAAGGCGGACGGACGGAGGAAGGAGATGGAGCTGATGGCTTCCTCTGGAAGACTCGCCGCCGGGGCCCACATGGCATCGTCTGCAAGCGCCTCCTCCTTCATTGCACAGTTGGTGTGGTGAGCAGCGGACTCCTCCACGTACGCCCGCTTGGAGGAGGAGCGATGAGCGTCAGACCCTTCTTGGCATGTGCGGCGCGTGCTTCCTCTCCCTTGGCGACGGCGGCAGCATGAACACAATCTACGCATCGGAGAGGGGGCGCACGAGGCACTATTTAATTCCCTCAAACCAGAAAGAAAAATGGACTAAACTGACGCTGAATTGCACTATTAACAAAGCTAGTAAGACTTGGCATGTGTGTAGACAGGCACACAAGAGCTCAAACGCTGAGCTCCCACTCTATTACGTCGCACGCTCTATTGGCTACGGACACTTGTTTTCAGCAGACAGGGAGAGTTTCTTGCGTCCTCATCAGCTGAAATCTGCATTCGCCGTTCACTTAGTCGATGGGCACTTCCACCTCCATCTTCGGGCCGGGGTGGTCGATGATCTGAAACCATGTCACAGAAGAAATTCAGTTTCACTTTAGGTCCAGCAGTACGGAACAAGAGCAATATAGAGTGAAGAAATGCTATAGAACTGTAAAATCAGTTCATAACATGAGTACTAGTAGTAGCCACACTGGATAATGGTAAAACTGCACATGATATGCTTTCCGTATTCAGATGAATATGCCACAGCATGATAAGAATGGAAAGCAAGGTTTAGCTGCGTACCGTCACGAAATCTTCTAATGCTAGCGTGGAATCCTGTGTGTACCCGGCTTCTTCCAACACCTTTGTTAGTACTTGCTGAAACACGTCAATTCAGATAGTGTCAGTACTTCTAGATGAGATTATAGATAGTGCTGTAAATAAGCTTGAAAAGATTATGCATCCAGTTCAAAACGATAACAAAACTATTCACTGCAAACGGTCAGAGAGGGCACTAATGTCTTGTGGACGTGCAAAAATCATGAAATCTGGACACTGAGCTCTTAGATACACAAGGATTGGTTACACACAAGTCTATATTTTGTAGCTAATGCTCCTCTGTTCGCAAATATAAGACGTTCCTCTGTTCGCAAATATAAGACGTTTTAGAGACTTGTGTAGTAAATATCAACATAGGAATTTGCAGTGCGAAGCATGCTACTCTGAACATTTACTGCAATGAAGAAACCTACAATTTAGTTTCAGGGTTCCCTTCACTTTGGAAACAAGGTATGCACACTTGATGTGTTTATTATGGCAGGGTACTAATTATTTGAAAAGGAAACAAGGAAAGAGCCACATTTGTTCTTGTTGATTTAGTAAGTGTACTTGCAAGTGAATGTACTATGCAATGGAATACAGGATTGAATCAAATGAGAACCTCTCTTTGCTTTTCTGACATGGATGAGCCAGTTAGGTCCCGTAAAACCTCTACCAAGTCCTTGAAGGATACTTTCCCCTTGCCATCAATGTCATACACCTTAAATATCACTGTTCAATGAAACACAAACCAAATCAACACCGGACCAGCAAATTAGTCATCATAAGGATCAGAGAGACCCAAATCAACATACACTCTTTTCAAGATAGACAGCAAAAGGGGGAAAAGAAACATGATGAGCATTACACTCAATCTTTTGCTGAAGGCTGGCCCTTGCGCTGAAGGTAGAGAGAAAAGAAACAAATTCCTTGAAGTTCAATCCATCAACCATACGTAGCAACCTCTGCAAACAGAAGACGTGGAAGCTCAAAATCAGTCTCACGTCTATAGTTGACACTGCTGAATCCCCGAAATATAGCTAAAACAGTCAAACTGAGTAAAGAAAGTGAACAGACTACGTTATTTGCAAGGAGGGTTGTGTTTTGCTGGAATAACTACACTATATATACAAATCAGATACACTGAATTTTACTCAGTTGGCACGACAGGGACAGGGACAAAGCGAGCAGGGGAACAAAATTCGGCGTCTCGGCGACGGGGGGAGGACGGGGGAGGGACGGACCTTGGAGAGCGGGTTGGTGGAGAACTCCGGGATGGAGAGGAACTCGTCCTCGGAGACGAAGCCCTTGGCGCTGCGGTCGAGCTGGCAGAAGCGCTCGTACAGCGACACGATCTCCTGCTGCGAGACTTGGATTCGATTCGTTCGATTTTGGGGGGAAGAAAAACACTCAGACGCGTCAGGAATCGACCAATTCACCACCAAATCGAAGCGAAAATTGACGGAGCAGGAGGAAATTGATGGGGGAATCGCGGGCGCTCACATAGGTAGCTGCAGTGCTCCTGCACCTTATTTCCCCTCCTTCTGCCCCACTCGGCGCATCTCCACCTTTGGCATCCATCCGCGAACAGAGACCAGTCCATGAACATACCCAAGCATCTATTCCAGCCAAAGTTTTCGCCCTCTTGTCTATGCACCTTGCTGCCTGCGTGTGTGCTCGCGCAGCCTGCTGTTGCGCCATCTGCATGCGCAGGAGCAGTAGTATGCTGCTGCTGTGTGGTGGGTATGTACAGTTAGTCCGTGTGTGTGCTAGCTAGGTGAGGGTCACTGCTCTCTCTATAACTTCTTAAAAAGAAACCTTCCACTCTCCATCATGCATATCTCCGCAAGCAGGGAGACGCTTCCAAGATCAATAGAAAAAGGTCCTTGGATGAATAGGTTTTGCTTTTGGTGACATGTGATGTGATTTGTTCTAGCACTTAATGTATTAGCACGCGTATAATACTGGTTTTGACTTATGAAGTGTACCCTACATTACGTGTCTATGATGTGTGTTTGGGGCTGCTTCTTTCTAGGCAGCTCAATAGGAATAGGGTGTGGTTTTTCACCATCAGCTAGGGATCCACTACTTTATCCTAAACTGCTATTAAATTCACAATAGGGAGCATTTCAATAACAAAAGAAATCTCGCAATGGTTTATAATATCATGCATATATGTATGATGTACAAACAGTTCTTTTTTAGCTCTATTGCGTACCAAAATTGAATTGACAATGTCTAAACAAATATGAAGTATAAAATTATCATAAAAGGGAATTGGTTTATTTTTCAAAACTAATGAAGTTGGATCTACTTAATGCACGTGTTCACCCACCAGTTAACTTCACTTTTTTAGGGTAATTGCATTTTAAATCTCCACAAGAGGACGAAAACACTACTCTTTTGGAGATCATCTAAATAAGATGGACAGGCTCCACACCTCCCGTGCCATTTTATGTGTTTTAGATTTTACTTCACAGAGCATTCATCAGTTTTGTGTTCTAAATTTTACTACAGAGAGTGTCTTTGGACTGAGGCCACTTTGGAGAGGTAACTTTAGCACAATTGATGGTTGCTTTTCCTCCCCTGTTGACATGTATCTCCTTCCTCTAGATGTGAATATATCAATAAAACAAGGAATTTTTAATGTTACTGTCTGACGGAGTTCACAAATTATTCAACCTTTTTGCAGCTATATGGAGATCTGGCCGGGCGGTCTTCTGTCCTACCTCTGAATCAACGATATATTGTGGCTGTATATGAAGTGTGAATATTCAGATATGTATGCTGCCTCCTAACTTCTCTTTACAGATTTATTATCTATGAAATGAATGCAAACAAGTCCTATCTTACAGATAATTACTCCCTTATAGATAAATCCGTTGATTCATAAATTAATTGGCCGGAGATCGGTAGACAGTCAAGTGGATTGATACCTGGAGTTTAGAGCTCAAAATCCTTCTAACTTTCTATTTGGCTGTATTTTCTTGACAGCTTTGAGAGAAGAAGAAGTACTGTTGGTAATTCCTGACATGTATAATACCCATTCAACCGGTGTATATCGTCTGTTATGTTTAATCTGTTCCCAAAATAATTTGTAAAGTGGCTTTAACAATTATACACCTTCTCTGTGTATTAGTACTCCATTTTTGGGCAGTTGGAAGAAGTCAGTTTATACATGGGAAAATGACTTTATTTACTTGCACTGTTGCTTTTATCATTTAACAAAGATGTTTGTGAAATAGTTTGTTAGGCATCACAGTGAAGCTTGGCCAAGGGACTTATGTCGAGGCCTACAAGGCTCGAAGCACTGCAAGTGAAGTGGCGCTCTTTGATGTATATTCATTTGTCAACTAATACCTGGTCATACGCTCTTTGATGTATATTCATTTGTCAACTAATACCTGGTCATACTAGAGAAGCGCGTACACACAAGGGCCCTAACAGGTTCTAAATATGTACTTGGATGACCTTTAAATACATGGATGATTATTTCGCATAAATAAAGCCATATCGTCATTTTAACACAAGAAGCAATCAGTGTCCCATAACACAAATAGCCACTGCTTTTTCTGAGTAGCAAATTAATTACTACTTATGGGGCCATCAAGAAGAGCTCTCTGCACAAAGGAATCATTACCTGAGCGAGGCATACAATTCAAGCGGCCTTTCACGGATTCACCTTAACTGATAGCATGTAACCATAAGATTTTATTTCTTGAAATATAAGGCCGCACCACCCTGCACAATGGAAACAAGAGTTTTACAGCAGGTAAGTGGCCACTGTGAGAAATTGAAGATAAATCACAACCTGCTCATTCAACAGGTAAAACCGAATTTGAGGTGAAGTCACTAAACTGAGCATTTGTTTTCCCATTGGACATGTCGGAATTCACAAACATCCAAAAGGAGAAGATAATGTATCGGCCAAATTATCAAAATTAGAAATTCTCTGTCAGGCACAACAAATGCACCAATCCATCAACCTAGACAACAATATTAATAAAAAGTTATATTTTTTCAGCGAACAATCCCGAATTTGACCACTATTCTTACTAAGAAACAAGTCAAGTATTCAAGTACATGTTTCTACTTCCTTACCATCAATCCAGGAACTCATTACTCTACAGAGAAGCTCAATTCAGGCAGAACAAACACACGACAACCAGAAATAGCAAGCGAAGCAAAGGAACCGAACCTGGGGCACCCAAGGAGGAATTCACCATCTCTGCCGCACGGACCAAACGATACCCGACCAGAATTGAGGAGCAGGAGGACGATATGCTGACCCCATGCGCAGCTCCACGGATCTTGCCCCTCTCCGTCCCCAGGGCGACGGGCTGTGACGGTGAGCACGAGGCCATGGAGGGGATCAATCAACACTTCGCGACGGTGCGTGTGTGGTTCGCAGGTCGACCGTGGGCGGTGGGTGTCAGAAAAGCTCACGTGTGGTTGCGGCAGTGCGCGGCCAGGCAAAGCTCGCGGGGCGACGGTGGCTGCTGCATGTGTGCGCGTAGTTGCCGTGAGCGGCGACCTGCGGTGTGGCTGCTGCATGCGGTAGCCGGGCGTGGGGCGGCGACACACGGCGGTGCTCGGCCCAACGCTGTCTGAATGGAGTTATTCGTGTGCCGCACAGAAGCAGAGAGAGCAGGACTGGAAAACCTTATCTCTTAGGTCATTTTACATTTTAGCACTTATACTTTACCTTATTTGTGTTCTATAGCTTACATGTTAGTTTTCACTTTTCAGGCACACTTCTAAATCAAATCATTCCTTTTATGCATTTTTTAATCATATGGACCCGTACAACTTTTTTTGGCATTCCTCTTTGACATATTTTTCTTTCATTCTCGATAGCAATCAACATGGCATTATTTGATCTATTATTTTAATAAATGAAACTTCCCATATGAAAACTTACATGAAACATGCCTAGGAACATCATTATGTAACATCACAAAAGAGTAAAATATACGGGAGGGCAATGAGGGAAAAATTGTGCTTGAATGAAATTTTTTACTTCTACTTTTAACTCGCAGTCGATTGATCAGTTCTGAATCAAATGCATATCATAGTGATGCCTCTTTTATTTGTTCAAAATCGTTGTTGCATGCAGTGTCGCTAAGCACTTGTAGGCCGCATGGAACAATTTGCAAATGCTTTGCCTCATTTCATTGGAGGTACCAATCCGGCGGAAGACTCCACAAGAATGATATAAGCTACGAATGAATGTAATGTGTCTGGTCTTGTTTGAAAAAAAAAAGAGGACAATGTATAATTTCCATCTGGCAAGATGAAGCACTCATGCTGATAATAAATGTATCATTTGCAAATTGTTTCTGTGCATGTCTTGCTTTTTTTTACTACAAACTCATGCTCATAGAAGTCTTATCTTTTATCGCATGAAATAAGATAATGTATATATACACATAGTACTGTCTATCGTGTCCACTGACAATAAAGAGATCTTCTCCGGAATGTGGTACCGTCTCTTTTCCATCCTAGATGTATGCCGTGTGTAAAATAGTTATGAATGCAAGCTTTTTCTCTTTAATCACCACTTGATGAAAATAGCATGCATACAGAATATTTCAGTACATACAATACCTACGTCTCAACGGGCGCGGCGTGCCGCCGCGCGGGCTTCGCTAGTACATTTCAATTGTTGTTTGTTAGAACTAAACGACGAAATTCATGCAACTACGGCTGATTTCATATAAACTGAAAAAAAATTAAACTAAAAGAAATATACCGGACTAAGGTAAAACTAGTCTACGGCTGGCACCGGCAGATATCCAATCGCACTACACAGATGCCCTTGACTAGTCTACAACCGTCCATGGTAGATCTCTATTGTCTTCCCCATGTCCAGCAGCCCGCTCGTCGGATAGCCGTGAGCCCCGGAAGGGTTCGTGTGAGAGAACGTTGTTTTTCGACATCCTTCAAATGTCGCCAAGTTTTTTTTACATGGTCTTATCGGACCAATTCAAGGCACCCTGAAAAGTTGGTTTAGTTTTCAACTTATGTCTTATCGGTCAGAAAAGGCCGGTAAATGGCGGGACGTCTCACAACTTGCATACGGTGTTGAAAAACGTTTAAACTTGACATGGATGACTACCATGGGTATGCCCACTTGGTGGTAAAAGATTATGGTCATTTCAAGGATGTACAAAAACAGATCATGTCAAAGGAGAGGGAGGAGGGGTCGGGTATTACCAGAAGCTTTGAACGGGAGCACGTTGTTTCTTAACATTCTTGAAATGACCCCATTTTTTCATCGCCTTATATGACCAATTCAAAGCACCATGCCAAGTTTTTGGGTGTTCGACAAGTTTTGGATTTTCTAGAGTATTTCTCGGTTAAAAAAGGCCGATAAATGGACAGATATGTCGCAACTTGCATAAAAATGTTAATAGTGAAGGAAATATGCCCTAGAGGCAATAATAAAGTTATTATTTATTTCCTTATATCATGATAAAAGTTTATTCATGCTAGAATTGTATTAACCGAAAACATAATACATGTGTGAATACATAGACAAACAGAATGTCACTAGTATGCCTCTACTTGACTAGCTCGTTAATCAAAGATGGTAATGTTTCCTAACCATGGACAAAGAGTTGTTATTTGATTAACGGGATCACATCATTGATTGAATGATCTGATTGACATGACCCATTCCATTAGCTTAGCACCCGATCGTTTAGTATGTTACTATTGCTTTCTTCATGACTTATACATGTTCCTATGACTATGAGATTATGTAACTCCCGTGTGCCGGAGGAACACTTTGTGTGCTACCAAACGTCACAACGTAACTGGGTGATTATAAAGGTGCTCTACAGGTGTCTCCAAAGGTACATGTTGGGTTGACGTATTTCGAGATTAGGATTTGTCACTCCGATCGTCGGAGAGGTATCTCTGGGCCCTCTCGGTAATGCACATCACTTAAGCCTTGCAAGCATTGCAACTAATGAGTTAGTTGCGGGATGATGTATTACGGAACGAATAAAGAGACTTGCCGGTAACGAGATTGAACTAGGTATTGGATACCGACGATCGAATCTCGGGCAAGTAACATACCGATGACAAAGGGAACAACGTATGTTGTTATGCGGTCTGACCAATAAAGATCTTCGTAGAACATGTAGGAGCCAATATGGGCATCCAGGTCCCGCTATTGGTTATTAACCGGAGACGTGTCTCGGTCATGTCTACATCGTTCTCGAACCCGTAGGGTCCGCACGCTTAAGGTTTCGATGACAGTTATATTATGAGTTTATACGTTTTGATGTACCGAAGGTTGTTCGGAGTCCCGGATGTGATCACGGACATGACGAGGAGTCTCGAAATGGTTGAGACATAAAGATTGATATATTGGAAGCCTATGTTTGGATATCGGAAGTGTTTCGGGTGAAATCGGGATTTTACCGGAGTACCGGGAGGTTACCGGAACCCCCCGGGAGATATATGGGCCTTAGTGGAAAAGAGAAGAGGCAGCCAGAGATGGGCTGCATGCCCCTCCCCTCCCTTGGTCCGAATAGGACAAGGAGAGGGGGCCGGCCCCCCTTCCTCTTTCCCCCCCTCCGCGAATCCTATTCCAACTAGGGTTTGGGGGGGGGGATCCTACTCCCGGAGGGAGTAGGACTCCTCCTGGCGCGCCTCTCCTAGGCCGGCCGCACCCCCCCTTTGAGCCTTTATATACGGAGGCAGGGGCACCCCAGAGGAATACAAGTTGATCCACGTGATCATATTCTTAGCCGTGTGCGGCGCCCCCTACCACCATAGTCCTCGATAATATTGTAGCGGTGCTTAGGCGAAGCCCTGTGACAGTAGTACATCAAGATCGTCACCACGCCGTCGTGTTGACGGAACTCTTCCCCGACACTTTTCTGGATCGGAGTCCGGGGATCGTCATCAAGCTGAACGTGTGCTAGAACTCGGAGGTGCCGTAGTTTCGGTGCTTGATCGGTCGGGCCGTGAAGATGTACGACTACATCAACCAAGTTAACGCTTCCGTTGTCGATCTACAAGGGTACGTAGATCACACTCTCCCCTCTTGTTGCTATGCATCACCATGATCTTGCGAGTGCGTAGAATTTTTTTTGAAATTACTACGTTCCCCAACAGTGGCATCCGAGCCTAGATTTTATGTGTTGATGTTATATGCACGAGTAGAACACAAGTGAGTTGTGGGCGATATAAGTCATACTGCTTACCTGCATATCATACTTTGGTTCGGCGGTATTGTTGGATGAAGCGGCCCGGACCGACATTACGCGTACGCTTACGCGAGACCGGTTCTCCCGACGTGCTTTGCACATAGGTGGCTTGCGGGTGACAGTTTCTCCAACTTTAGTTGAACCAAGTGTGGCTACGCCCGGTCCTTGCGAAGGTTAAAACAGCACCAACTTGACAAACTATCGTTGGGGTTTTGATGCGTAGGTAAGATTGGTTCTTGCTTAAGCCCGTAGCAGCCACGTAAAACTTGCAACAACAAAGTAGAGGACGTCTAACTTGTTTTTGCAGGGCATGTTGTGATGTGATATGGTCAAGACATGATGCTAAATTTTATTGTATGAGATGATCATGTTTTGTAACCGAGTTATCGGCAACTGGCAGGAGCCATATGGTTGTCGCTTTATTGTATGCAATGCAATCGCGCTGTAATGCTTTACTTTATCACTAAGCGGTAGCGATAGTCGTGGAAGCATAAGATTGGCAAGACGACAACGATGCTACGATGGAGATCAAGGTGTCACGCCGGTGACGATGGTGATCATGACGGTGCTTCGGAGATGGAGATCACAGGCACAAGATGATGATGGCCATATCATATCACTTATATTGATTGCATGTGATGTTTATCTTTTATGCATCTTATCTTGCTTTGATTGACGGTAGTATTATAAGATGATCTCTCACTAAAATTATCAAGAAGTGTTCTCCCTGAGTATGCACCGTTGCGAAAGTTCTTCGTGCTGAGACACCACGTGATGATCGGGTGTGATAGGCTCTACGTTCAAATACAACGGGTGCAAAACAGTTGCACACACGGAATACTCAGGTTATACTTGACGAGCCAAGCATATGCAGATATGGCCTCGGAACACGGAGACCGAAAGGTCGAGCGTGAATCATATAGTAGATATGATCAACATAGTGATGTTCACCAATGAAACTACTCCATCTCACGTGATGATCGGACATGGTTTAGTTGATTTGGATCACGTGATCACTTAGAGGATTAGAGGGATGTCTATCTAAGTGGGAGTTCTTTAAGTAATTTGATTAATTGAACTTAAATTTATCATGAACTTAGTACCTAACAGTATCTTGCTTATGTATGTTTGATTGTAGATAG